GGGGGTTATGGTGTTCACAACTGCATAATAAAGTCCTATGAGCGCGCAGGAAACAGTAAGCATTTTCGGTTTGGTAGGAATTGATTTTGAATTTTGCCCGGTTCGCGGCCGAAGCCCACTCTTACGACAGAACATGATTAGATCTAGAGAACAGGAAAGCAGGTGACAGGACAACATTTTAGAAAAGAACATTTTTCGTCACTGTCAGGTTTCGAACCTTGGAGGCCTACCTACTGAATGAAAGGCAAACACAGTGCCCTTCGACTACAAGAACCCCCTCGTATGGTGTATTCCGTCTGAATAATTGCATCATGGGTACGTACCTGTGACTGCATCATGCATCACTGCATGCGTATCAACAGTATTAGTATCATTTAACATGAGTGTGCTAAGTGCACTGCTGTGCTGATACTGAAAATGTGTGCATGTTGGTGTTTTCTGAGATATATCCACCCCAAATTTCCCTCGTGGATCAATGAAGTTTATCTTATCTCATCGGAAAATATTGTGTGCATTTCTGTGTTGATGTTGTGATCTGTATGTGTTGGTGTTCTTGAATATCCTCCCAAATTCCCACCGAGGGTTCAACAAAGTTTATCTTATCTAATTGAAAAGTGCTGGGCGCATTTCTGTGTTGACGCTAAATCTTTGTATGTTTGTTTCCTGGTATATCCACCTCAAATCACCCCCCCCCACCCCGTGAATTAATAAAGTTTACTATCTTTCATCTCTTACCCGCGGGTGGTTGGAGGAAGCCACTGATAATAGGTCCTACTTCTTTACTTTCCCTCTTTTGTTTCTGTCTTGTTACTTTTCCCCAGCACTAAATGACCATTACTGTGTCGATGTGCTTCTGATAATTACTCAGACAAGCAAAACAAACATCTGTTACCTGTACGTTACCATCTGGTCACCGCGACAACCCGGACTTCTCACCAACTTGGCAAGCTGTAAAAGCTCTGAAGAATTCGGTGTGGTGCCCAGGATTGTACAGGCCAAGTGGTTGTCCTGGAAAAAAACAACTCAGCAACAAAAAACAAAACAAAAATAAAAACAAAAACAAACGCACAAAAAGTATCACGAAGACATGGAGCAATGGGGTTTGGGGGGGGGGGGGAGGGAGGGAATCAGTATTTTACTTTTACCCTCGGTTGTTTGGTATAGGAATCACCACGACTCCACCCGATTACAAGGAGAGTGCAAATCCGCGGATGGTTTAATACATTTATTTATTATTTGTCCATTCATCCATTTGTTTATCCACTTTCCATCCATGAATGATTCTTTACTTAAAAGTATATAGTTTGATATCGAGACAGATGTTAAGAATCGCAGCTAACATTGTGCACATTCAACTAATCGGATGTGTGTACATGTATTATAAGTAGGTCGCTGGCGTCTGTTGTGTAATGGTTAGGCCTATATAAGACTCTTCAAGAGATATAGTTCGATTCCCGTGTGGGCAGGGCTTTTTAAAAAATCGAGTATTTCCATTTATCTGCTGCTATGCCGTATCTTTCTCAGCTCGGGTTGGCCCTGACTGGCAGGATTAAAGTTTCCCACCTCCTAAATTAGCTAATCGTGTTGAAGGGGGTGTAAAAAATGTGCAATGATTTACCAAAATAGGGCAGGCTGTGGGACACGTTGAGAACTTTTCTGAATTGTCACGAAAGGAACAAAATAAACGGGGTAAAAACCTTCGAGTTACGAACCTATTCTTCTCAGATACATGTACTCGCTCAGGGTTTTAGTTTAGTTTTTGTTTTGGATACCCTGGTCTAGTGAGTCTTGGTCATGAAGTGATTTTCGTTCTAAGACGTGTTCCATCTCATATAGCAACACATGGATAAGGAACATTAAAATTAAAAATTGTTGGTATCGAAATTACATCAAAGATCGAGTATATGATCTTTGATTACATCACAGAAAAAGTCGCCATTCGAAAGAGGCGGCATGTTCGTCGTTCGAGGGAAGCCTGCGGGTAAAAGAAGCTCGTCGTTTGAGAGTGCCCCCTGATTAGGCTAACCTAGATTTTTTTCGATATCAACACGACAAAACGTCTCCAACCCGCTTCTGAAATAACCTAATAGTGTTGATAGGGGCGTTAAACCTATACCATTTCACCTTTTTTTAAATTTATTTATTTATTTATTTATTTATTTATTTATTTATTTATTTATTTATTTATTTTTTTTTTTTTTTGGGGGGGGGGGGTGTCTCCAGAATCATACCTGAAGGAATTTCTCCACCTGCAGGTCTGGTGTCATCCGGCTCTGTAGGACGGTCTGCCTGTTGTGGGCCACGCTGCGGAACGCTCGAAAGTCGTCCTCCAGTAGCTGATGTTCAGGTACGGGAGGTCTGTCAGAAAAAGAAAAGAAAAGAAAAAAAAAAAAAAAAAAAAAAGAAGTAAAGAAAAGAAAAGAAAGGTTGGGTTTTTGGTAAGTTTGCTAAAAGTTTTTACCGTACTTGCAAACTGCATAATAGGTCATATGAGCGCAAGTTTGAGTTTAGTTTTAAGAAGCGGTTATGGGCACTCGCAACACAAATAGGTCAAATTATAATAACGATTTAAAGTGTTACTGAAGAGTAACATACAGTGCAAGGAAAAGAAGTAAGAAAGATAAGGACGATTGACGATTTAGTTTAGTTTTTAATAAGAGTTTCACGGCACTTGTCACACAAATAAGTCGTATAGGAACTGAAGGTTAGAGGTGTTACCAGAGACTAACATATAAAGAAAAGATGGAGGAGAGATGATAACGATAGATGTTTGATAGGATGGAAGGAGCAGGCTACTCAAGAGCATCCTCAAACCACCCACAAATAATACGAGTTTATGGCACTTGCAACATAAAAAGGTCATTTAAGTCATAAGTGCAAAAGATTAGGAGTGTTACTGTAGAGTGACATTCAGTACAATAAAAAAAGAAGGAGGACAGTTCAGGAGGATATATGTTTGATACGAAAGAAAGAGCAGACCACACCAGAGCACTCAACAATCACCTACGAGTATGAGTCGGAACAAAGAGGAGCAGATCGACACAATAACACTCATTTAATGATAAACACACAGAGAAAACAACTATTACGGTTTGATGTAACTAATCATTTATTTTTTGTTTTAAAACAAAATGTAAACATTTTGCAGGCCCACCGTACCGATTAGCCTCCAGGTTGTACAGCATTGTAGGAACGACTCGCTTTTTTCCGTTCCTGTGATCCCTCCTGTGGATGTACAATTCAGAACACACGGGCTTTGCGTGATGACCGACAACTGACTGGTAGCGGAACACCTGGCTGGTCGCTGGTGTCTCTTGGCCAGCTTCCCAGAGGTCGTCGTCGATGGGACCACACGCGGTGTACATGGAAGAGGCTCGGAGCGGTGGGCCGGACAGTAGAGCTCTCGTGGTGAACGGGACGAACACAGAGGTGATCCGGTTGAGCCCCGTGCTCCTCATCGTCTCGGCGTTCATCCCCAGCAGCGACAGCGAGCGTGGCTCTATATAAAGTTATTTGAATTGGGACGGAGAATGATCGAGAATTATCGGCTGTTACCTGGACAAAATTCCCAATAATTAATTAATTCCTATCCGATACTAAAACTGAAAATTTTTTAATGGCATGAAAGCATACAGAGTACCTTCGAAATCGGGATGTAGCTGCCGGAGGGCATGGGGTCCTTTAGGAGGGAAACATATTCACACGTAAAAATCAGTTACACTGCAAGTTGAAAAACCAGGAGTATCCGACTAACCTTGGGATCTATCAGGGAACGCAAAGAAAACAGTCTAAAAATCAGTTACTGTATGGGTCTTGGAAGATTTGGCAGGCTGGCCGCAGTATTATAAGCTGAACGACACAAAAATCTTACACCTCATTTGTAAAACCCGTGGTCCCCAGTCATGTGTTTTGTTACCAGTTTTGTATACAATGTATACCAACATACGTAAGTATGAAACAACAATTCGCTTGACTGATACGCCTTGATGAAAAAGAGTACCGCAAAAAATATTATGTATAGGTCTATGTTTAGTGAATGGTGCAACAGACAATTTACTAAAGATGAAAAACCTCTCAAAAACAAGGGAATTGATTTTAAAAAACCAAAAAACAGGCATCTCTTCGTGGAGGATTCAGGGAGGTTGGACTGCCTCACCCGCTACCCAAGGGAGGTGGTGCCCCCCCACTACCAACAACAAACAAAAACAAAACAAAAACAACAACTAATAAGTTACAATTAGCAACAAAAAATTGACCTTCCAAAATCACGTGAAAAATAATCATCGTCATCATCCAGTGTCAGATCTGCGACAGGCATCGGCGATCATGGTTCTCCATTCATTCCTTTTCTCGGATGCTCTGAAAAAAGCTACGTTTCCCTGATCTTTCCATGTTACCCGTTTGTTTTGGTTCCCTAAGTAGGCTGATCTGGGCCTACCTCTGCCTCAGTTGCCTTCAATTTTGCAAGTGAGAGCTAGATGTTCAAGACCCTTATGTCTATTCAGGTGTCCCAAAAACTGCATTTGTCGTTTCCTGATTATTTTCATCAACATTGAACGCCCCACGTTGGCTTCATCAAGCACTACCTCATTTGGTTTCTTTTCCTTCCTCGACACTCTTAGCAGTCTCCCAAGAAACCACATTTCAGTTGCTTCTATTTTATTTTCACTGTCTTTAGTGATTGTCCAGCGTTCACAGCCATATAGAAGGGTTGACCAAACATAGCATTTCAGAACTTTCATTTTGGTGGTCATTGAGATGTTTCTATTTTTCAGGATTGGGCTCATTTAATTGAAACTAGCCTTAGCCACTGTAGATAATTCTCCGTTTTATTTCTGTGGAACATTTGGCATCAGATGTTACATGTATCATATATCCAAGATATTTACTGTCGGACTTGTTTGATCTTTTCACTTTTGCTAATGAGATTACAACTAGGATATGCTACTTTTTGGGGGATATTACAATGCGTTCTATTTTCTGTACATTCAACACCAATCCTTTACGTTCACTTTCTGTTACAACAGTATCTAGAAGCAATTGAAGGTCCTTTTCTGAGCCTGCTATTAAAACTGTGTCATCTGCATACCTGATGCTATTAATATTTTCTCCATTTACTTTGAGACCCGGACATTTTTCTATTTTTCTAAGGATTGTTTCACTGTACATGTTAAAGAGATCTGGTGACATAACACATCATTGCCTCACTCCCCTCCCAATCTGCTTATATTCACTGTATTCTACATTAATTCGTAACAGCAGCGTTTTGGTCCCAGTACAAATTCCAGATAATTCTTAGATCTTTTCCATCTATGTCTAGCTTTTCCAGTATTCTAAATAGCTCATTATGTCTAACTTTATCGAACGCCTTTGAATAATGTATGAAGCATAAATACAGATCTTTCTGTGCTTCAATACATCTTTCCATTAACATTATTGAGGTGAATATAGCATTTCTAGTGCCCTTGTCAGGAGCAAAGCCGAATTGCGTTTTAGATATCTCTGGTCTTACACTTTTTCTCAATCTTCCCATTATTACTCGCAGCAATATTTTTGTAAAATGACTCATAAGGCTAATTGTTCTGTGCGTATCACACTCTGTGACACCTTGTGTTTTAGGTAAAGCTATACAAAGTGACTTTATCATATCTTCTGCGATCTCACCACTGTCATAAATAGAACCTTTGTTATTTCAGTGCCTAGTTCTTCAAGTGCGACAATCACTTCAACTGGAAATATTATCTGGCCCTGTGGCTTTTCCTTGTTTCATTTTCCTAATGGCAGCTTTTACTTGAGCTTTCAGAATTGGTGGTCCATTTATTTCATTCCTTATTACCGGTTTTTCTCCTCTATTATCTTTGAAAAGTTCTTCTGTGTATTCTGACCACCTGTTTAAGACATTCCCATTGTCCGTTAAAGTATCCCCTCTTTTTGATCTTAAGCATCCTGTATTTGATCATCCTTTTATCCCACTTACTTCTTTGATTTCGGAATACATGTTGCTGTCTTTGTTTTGGTGCTTCTCAATTTGTTGACACTGAGCATTTATCCATGTTTCTTTTGCTTCGTTGCATTTTTTTCTCCCCCCCCCCTCCCCCTGTTTAAGATGGTGTACTTTTCCACATTTGATTTTGCCTTTCTTCAATACATGTAATAGATTGTCAAAAAGTTACAGCAGAGGCTTGATGGGGAAAGTTAGGCCCTTCAGTCTGAATATATTTATCTTCCAAATATTCCACGTCTCCACAATAGAAAGTTTTTATAAATTTTAGTACATATCGTGTTTTGTTAGAGATTTGGGGAAACAAGTACCCCATAAAAAGAAATAACTTTCTATACAAGACAAAATTTAATGGTCTTAAAAAAGGCGGACACAACGCTACTGACCATAGTTGCACACCGACCCAAGACTTTTTATTATCGACCTAGCAGTAAACGACTTATTTCCAAAGCATTAGCAAGAACAGACAGATAAAGAACCTCATTCCTACCAACCCGTGCAGTGAGGTTAGCCTACCGAACTCACGTTGCTACAAATAACACAAATACACACAAATACACACACACACACACACATAGAGGGAGAAGGAGAGGGAGAGGGAGAGGGAGAGAGAGAGGGAGAGGGAGAGAGAGAGAGAGGGGGAGAGAGAGAGAGAGAGAGAGAGAGAGAGAGAGAGAGAGAGAGAGAGAGAGAGAGAGAGAGAGACGGGGGGGGGGGGGGGGGAGAATGTTTATGAAGTGGAGGTGTTTCAGCTCGTAATAAATGTACTGTCAGGTATAGATGTCTATTATGTCCTTTCTAATTGTTGTGTGTTGCACGAGTACACCTGACCTTTGTAAAACCACTGCCATTGTAAACGATCGACACAAATTTCTCCCTGGGAAATGATTAAAAATTAAGCCCACATTGTCATTTTCGTATCACACATTTATCCAACAGAGTGAAAGTAGGTAAATGACCTATCATTTCCTTTTTCCTTTCAGCACGATGACACCACAAGGGATTCATTTCTCTCCCTGATAATGATAATGTCTTATTTAATTAAATTAAAATGCTCTTTAAGATAATTTTGATGATCACGTTGACCTTACTATAACTGATTAGCGTGGTCTTGTTTTCTAGTATTGTAAAAAATGCAATTTGACCATCTTTTACAAGTCCATCGTAAAGCCAGTACGGTACGGTAAATCTAGATCTATGTCCTGTTTAATTTGAAAGAATAAAATAAAAAAAGTGGGGAATCCAACTTGTTTAACAAAATCTCTTTCAACCCCTTATATTTCTATGGACACGGTATTATTTTCTTTGTTGTCCTTGCCTGACATTGTTCCGACTGACAGCAGTCTCAAACTACGCTCGGTAGTGTGACACGATCCTTCCTCGGAGAAAATATTGCTGAAGACACGTCTTGATCAAGCGTTTGAAGAGCTTGATTCGAGAATCGTCATGCCATGTTGTCAAAACAAGGCAAGGGAGAATACAGAGGATGAACTCTCATAACACAAAATTTATTCGGGTAGCCTCCCTTCAGACCTACAAGTCAGACGTTGTAGAAAAAGAATAATTTTATTGTTGTGTAAAGATCCGTATCGTATTTTATAGGTTTCTGGAGGGTAAAATAATACAGGCATATTTGCATTTCCGCATAAAAATACCCCTCCCCTTTCTGCTCCCTACAGACAGTAGGCCTAGACAAAGCAACATTGTAGTTAGGCCTACGAAGCTGGGAATATGCGTAGCTTTGTCACGTGGTGCGAATAAGTTCCTGTTTTATGATCTAAAAATAACCTGAGGTGGGTTTGTGTTCCGGAGATATTCCTTGGGGGAATGAATGACTATCCTTTATTGCATTTATTGTTACATTTGACATATAAATTCCTACTGTCTAATGTTTCATGGCGTATAGAATGCGGTGAATTTTGAAGTTCAGGCGTAGCAAGTAGGCGAGCACCATCAGTTTAATGTGAGTATTAAAGTTTCAGGCGAGAGCAAGAGACCTTGAGTGTTTGTTGAAGTCTTGACTCCCCCATCGGATCTCGCATCGGGTCCGGTCTTTGACTGTTTTGTTTAGATTGGATTTGTGCTGTAGCCCATCGTCGTAATCCGACGATTCAACAGAATAGATCCTGATCTAGATCTACAGTGAAACCCAGTATAGGAAACAGCTCTAGTCAATGCCCCATTCATTGCATGATTGACCATGTCCTTTCTGTCTGACCAGTTCTGACTTGGCCTTAGCCTTGCATTATTAGCTGGTTGCATGCATTCACTGTCGTGACAATTAGATTCTAGATATAGATCTAGAATCTAGATCTAGATTCTAGATCTAGAATCTAGATTAGATCTAGATCTATTAGTCTAGAAATCTAGATATCTTGATCTATCCTCAAGATCTAGATCTAGATCTAGATCTAGTCTAGTCTAGATTGTCTAGTCTAGACATCTAGTATTCATTCACGAATCAACAAGGAACAAACTTTTATGATAATATGTATGAAAGAATGATAAACTTGTGTAAAATGTAAAAGTATAGCCTAGCTAACTAATCTAGAGATAGATCTAAGGGATCGTAGATCTAATCATCTAGATTCTAGATCTAGATCTAGAAATCTAGATAATCTAGATCTAATTTTAATTGTAACGTTTGATTCCACAGACCAGTGCACAATTCGTTACATAGATTGAGTACTGTGACAAGTTTATATCTTTACTAGGCCAGGACAAGATCGACGGCAAAAAGACTCGAGGCCTCGATTCCAAAACTGAAAAAAATCGAGGAATCGAGTCCGATTTTC